AATTTGAATAGACTGAAACTAGAGTTTAAGGGAAATGCTAAAGCTTTTCTCTAGACCCATCTTCACAGGACCTCCTGTGATGCTTCCTTTATGCATCATCGCCACAAACTCGTTATAGTCTATTCGCCCGTCCTGCAAACAACAATTTCAAATTGTTCAACATTCCAATCATTTAACCAAAATACTCAAACAAGAGTTTAGAGGTTCCAATCTATCAATCCAAAGCTGATTATAACATTGGTTACAACAAATTGGTTTATTTCACCATTTCTCAAGAATCTTGTACTCAACCCACAAAATCCCTATGATTAGGATGATATATAGTCCACTTCTAAGCTGTTCATTGTTGACAAATGTAGGCACAATGCATTTGTTCAAGTCATATAGAAATTGTGATGAGATGATAAAAGGTGTAAAGGAGCTTACGTTGTCTTGATCAACGTCGCGCATCATTTCTTCTATGCGGACATCCTCAACACCAAACTCCTCACAAGCTTGTTGAAGCTCGTCCGGGGTGATATAGCCGCTCCCATCTTTATCAAAGTATGTAAAAGCGGCAAACAAATGGTCCTCTCTCTCTATTTTGTTTAGATGCAATGTCGCGGCAATGAACTCTTTGTAGTCTATTGTTCCACTGTTGTCCACATCAGCCTGAATTTATATACACAGATTAGATGCAAATCCGAGCAAAAACACAGAGTTATAATTACACAGACTAAAACTTACAGCTTGCATCAAGTCGAGGATTTCAGACTCTTTGAGATTGGCCCCAACTCTTTTGAGTCCTGCTTTCAGTTCTTCGAAAGTTATCTGACCACTATTGTCGGCATCTATCATATTAAACATTTCTTTCAAGCCGGCTATTTCTTCTTCAGATAAGCTCTCCGCAATGACCTACAAGAAGGCATAAAGCGAGAAATTTAATCTGCATGTAACTATCATATGTTGACAGGGACTTGTTTTCATAGAGTTTCAAATTTTGTTTAGCATTGAAAAGCCGCTTACTCTAAGAGCCATTTTCTTGAGCTTGTTCATTGCTGAAAATTGCTTCATACGGCTCAGAACAGCAGAATCCAGAGGTTTGTCTGGAGCCACACCGTCGACTTGTACCCATGGATGACCTGAGAAAAAGCACTACTTTATAAGAGATAGGATGGTGGCACAAATGCACTCTACATGACAATGTATTTGGAAACTTCATTACCGAGACCGCACACTTTACTCATGTAGGACCAGTGAAATCTATGCTCAATGGAATTAACAGAGAGGGAGAATCACAACGCTCTAGGAGGGAGAGGAAGGTTTCAGATCGAAATAACTTACATAATACTTGATGAGCAGTTAACCTTCTCTTGGGATCACGGACAAGCATTTTCCTCACTAAGTCTTTTGCACTTTCAGATATGCTGGGCCAGGGATCGGAAGAAAAGTCAAGATCACCGTGGAGGACCTGTTCGAAAATACCTTGTTCGGTTTCTGAATGTTCAAAGAGACAAAAAAAACAAAGATTTTGTTAAGAGCCTGATTAAGACATGTGACAGATCTCTTATCTATAAATATGCATTTCTTACCAGCCCAAAATGGAGGAACTCCGCTTAATAAAATGTACACAATCACTCCAGCACTCCATACATCAGCCTCAGGACCATAACGCTTTCGAAGAACTTCCGGAGCAACATAATATGGGCTACCAACAACATCTGTAAAAACATCATCTGCAAAGAGGAAGAAATCGAAGTAAAAAATCATTGGTCACCACAAGAATCATGCCATTTCAAGTTAAAGACCAAGAATCTTGGAAACTGAGTGGTTTACGATCAGTAACAATGAATCCAAACCTGGCTTAAAGAACATAGAGAGTCCAAAATCAATCGTCTTCAAGAGAGAATCTTCGTCTTTACTGACAAATAGAAAATTCTCGGGCTTGAGGTCTCGATGCATAACACCAAGAGAATGGCAAGCCTCTAAAACCCCAACTATAGTTCTAGTGAGCTCAGCCGCTTTCCTCTCTGTGTAGTGACCGCGTTGAATTATCCTGTCAAAAAGCTCACCACCAGCACAACACTCCATTACAAGGTGCACCGCCACAACATCCTCATAAGCTCCTTTAATAGATATGACATTAGGGTGACCAGCCAAGTGATGCATTATCTGAATCTCTCTTCTCACATCCTCCACATCCTCATCAGTCAACAGCTTCCTCTTAGCAATCGACTTGCACGCAAACTCCTTCCCTGTAGTCTTCTCCACGCATAAGAAAGTCGTCCCAAATTGCCCTTGACCAAGTTTCCTTCCCAATGAATAGAATTCCTTAAAGTTTTCAGTTTTCCTCTGCAACACTGACTCAGTCCTAAGCCCTGCACTGGACACTCTCTTCATATGTTTAGGCTTCTTAGGCTTAACTGGAACATCAGGTTTCGTCTCTGGCTTGGTCTCTGGTTTGGTCTCTGGTTTTGTCTCCTCTTGAGCTTCCGGCTTGCTTTCAGGTCGAATCTCAATGTCGGATTTCGCCTTTGTCTCGATTGGCTTTGGCATTGTTAGGTGCTCAGGTGGTTTATTAAGGACTTGATCAGATAACTGAGATCGAGATCGAAGCTCTCCTGAAACAGCTTCACTTGCATTATCTCCATTACTCTGAGAAACAGAATCATCTACATCTCTTGGCCGCCACATTGCAGCAGAAACAGATTGCAAGAACCCATTTCTACTCGGTCCAACACAAGTATTACCCATTAAACTATCTCTCAATCTCTTTCTCCAAAAATAGCATCAAAGATCTAATCACAATACGCTCAAAAAACAATCTAATGTCATGAAAGTCAAATCCTTCCTTATCCTAAAGACGGCAGACATGAAAAGCCTCGAACTTTACGGATCAAATTCCTACACAGTCAAACTGAACAAAACAGCACAGAGCTTGCCCTGGAGGTGAAAAACAGCAAGAAAGATCAAAAGGGTATTGGAAAAATCGTGAATTGAAACGAACCCAGTAAAGAGAAGGAGGATACGAATCAAACACAGAGAGTAGGAATCAACCCCAGTCCCAGAC